GCAACCTTCTTGCTGCGAGGCAACAGCGCTAACCAACTGCGCCACCTTGCAGCCCATCACAATCTCTTAATCTCTTAAATGTATATAAGAACTATTTTCTAAAAGAATACATAACAAAACACAGCAGCTGCCTTAATAAGGAGGAACTCACTTGTAAAGCTCTGCGAGGAAGCAGTCCAGCGACTGAAGTTCCTCAAATATGGCTGAAAAACAATCACTGGGATTAAAAGTAAATCACATGAATTTGTATCATTTGAATAAAACTGACAGTGCCAAACTCAGACTTCTTTTACAAGCCTAACACTGGGATGAGCTTTTGTGTTCTCACAAACTTGATTTATAATTAAGCTGGATTGAGAGTAGGACTTCTCCTTCTGTGCATGCAGCAACTAGCAACAGCTGGGAGCCTTTCTGTCTGTTTTGCTGTCTTGCTGAATTACATTGCTGTCATCTGGAGTTCCCTCTAGTGCCTCAACTCTACACTGGTTTCTCAAATTGTGTTGTTGTTCAGTGACATGGAGGAGATGGTATGCTCACTACTGCTGAATGTATGTCATTGCTTGCTGGTAACCATTTGGCAAACAAAGTTACTGCTTGACTAATAAAAAAAAGTTATTGATCAGACTATCTCACAGCTCTTGTCAGTCCACACATGCAGCTCCTGGGCCAGTTCAGGTATGACCAGGAAAGTTCTCCAGCCCTGACGCTTCTTAGATTTGAGAATGTCACCAAAAATGTGGTCTCCAATGTAGATGATGTCCTTTCCTTTAGCACCCAGCAAGTCACAGACAATATCTGAGGAACCTGGGAGTGCAAATGTACAATTTTCAAAATGTTAGTTTAAAGACTTTTATCCACTATATCAAAACCTCTGAAAGCAATAACTCATAATGGTTGACTATAAACATTGTTTCTGTAAAGGTTGCTATGCTAAAGACCACGCTCCAGTTTCAACAACAGGGATGCTTGGTCTTAGAAGAACTAAACAGCAAATGTCACCACCTGCCACAACTAAAGAAATGAGCTAAAGAGAGTCAAGTTTGAAGCTCTGGGTCTTAACTGCAGAAATGGAATGTTTACTATTAGATTCTTCAAGTTCAGTCACAAAGCTATTCCTATTATTTTNCTTGGCAGCAGAGAGGTTAAGAACCCCTGCTGTAAGGCACACCTCAAACACACTGCTTCTTTGTTGTGACAACATGGGAAATCTAAAGAAATCAGCCAAAATATCAGGAAGAGAATTGTGGACCTCCACAAGTCTGGTTCATCCTTGGTACAACTTCCAGAGGCCTGAAGGTTCCACGTTTATCTGTTCAAACAATTATACACAAGTATAAAACCATGGGAATGTCACAGTTTAAAGCTTTTTAGACTCGAGTGGCCGACATCGATTCCTGTCTAAGACTGCTAGCGAAGGATGAACATTGAAACAGTAAGATTGCTATTCACAACAGTTATAATAACACCCGATTAAGGCAACTGGAGGTCACCAAAATAGATAGTCAGTGCGTAATATTTTCTTTCTCTGTCTCCCTCTTATGTTGTGAATTGGTGCTATATAAATACAATGGAACTGAGCTGAAAAAGTTTACCTTAATGCGTCTCTGCAGTGAGCTGATGTCAGGCCTCTCATTGCTGCTGCTGTCCAGATGTCTGAGGACAAAACACAAAAGTACGAAACCTGTGAGGCCAATTTAATTTTAAATATATTTTCCACGTCATCTGGAGGCTACTCAAGCTCTGCAAAGGCAAAACTAAATAACATGCAGCCTGCCTGTATACTCTCAGTTCATATTACTGAAGAAAACAGCAACACATACACCCAGACCTGCAAACTTTGTGGTAAAAAGGTGAAAAATATGCAACTAAAATTAAGTAGCAGGGTCCTGGTGTATTTTCCCCAAGAAGGAAATGCCAGGGATATTGATGTAAAATTATAAAAAAAACAAAAAACCCGCAATTCATCAGCCTAGCTAGTCTGCAGCTACGCACTGAGCTGCAACGCACTGTGAGTTCTGAGCAGCATTACGTTTTTCAACAATTTGCAATACAGTAGCTCTTCTGTGGGATCATATCACCAAGTTCTGTGCATCAATGAGCCTTGAGGGCAAGACCTTATTGCTGGTTCGCCACTTGTCTTTCCTCGGACTACTTTTGGTAGGTACTAACCACTGCGTATCAGGAACA